TAAAAGCACCAAAGATAGGAGACTCCCTTAGACAAATATACCCCATTTCTGGGTCAGAAGGAGCTTAAGTCACTCACTGGGAAGGTGCTTCTGAGAGGTTGGTCTCCCAGTGCCTTGAGCAGTCCTTTAAACACAGGGTTGACCTGAGACAGCTTGTTGGAGGGACCTAGCCTTGGTGCCACAGTCAAGGAAGCTKCGCCATTAATCACCACATTCAGACCTGAGGTACTATAATGGCCAACTTCATGAATCTTTAAGCTTCTGCTATGATTCCAAATCATGAGGACAAACTCTTTTCCTGTCCTCCCTCACCCCTTCTCTAAAGTGTCTCTATAGTCTCTCATTTCTCCACCTAAACTGGTCTGTGTTGTACATCTGCTGTCAACTAGAAAGGCTAGAAGCATTCTGGAACCTCTGCTTTAACCAAAATCATGCTGATTCATGTGTTTATTTTTACGTTCTCTCTACTGGATATTTGGGAAAGTAAGTAATTCTCATCGTAACCATTGCTTTAATAGAAATCTTCTCCTTTAAAAGATACCTTTAAAATTACTAACCCACATTTTTATAGTTCGTTGGCAATCAAGAGTGTTGGTGTCTATAAAATGTTCAGAGTACAATGTCCATGGTTTTTAGGATTTTTCTTTTGACAGGAAAATGACCAAGATTGTCAACTATGCTTGTGTGATACCTTGGTTTTTATGGGTAAATTAGGTTTAATTTTAAGTGGGATAAACATTATAAATGTGTTTGTTAGAAGAGACATCAGATTAATCTGCAAGTTAAAATAGTAAAACATTAGGGCTGGGTCTGTGCTCAGTGACAGTGTGCTTGCCTAGCATGTATAAGGCAGTGGGTTCCACCCTCAACACAGCATAAAAATAAAACAAATAAAATAAAGGTATGTTGTCCATACACAACTACAAAATTTTTTAAAAAAATACTAAGATATTAACCACTAGATATAAATTCAAGTACTCTTGGCTTTATAAGATAATATGTTTATATTAGGGTCTTTAGGGATTGTGTTTTTATAAATTGTTGGTAAATGGAAAAAGAGTTAAAGACTGCCTTCCTTTTAGGCCTAAACTAAAAGCAAAGTTACTAAGAGTTAAAGCTTTAACAGCTGTAATTTTATTTAAAAAAAAATAATAATACAAGATTTATTCTGTGTTTAGATTGGAAAAAGCCTAAAAGTAAAGAAAGTATTTCATTTCATTAAAAAGGAAATATTTGCCTAAATCCAAAAATGGTTAAGGATTGTTTCAAGTTATAAACTTAAGAATCAGCATCTGAAGAAAAGAAGATGTAAAAAACTGTAGATATGAGGCTATATTTTAGAGGTTAAAAGAGAAAAGGAATGTTTTAGATGAAAAAGTATTAAAATAATATTTTTGTCCTAAAGTCCAAGATAAGAAAGGGAAGACAAAACTAAGGATGTAAACAATTAAGTTGCAGAAGGTTTGTGAAAATAGACCTTAAGAAATTTATATGTGTAGTTAAGTTGACTATAATTAACACAAATAAATATATTTAAGAGTTTTCTAAGGTCAAAATTCAATGTAGTGATATAAAACATTCTAATTCTCTCTAAAAACAAGATTTTTCTTAAGACATTGATCTATTCTTATTTATCAAGATAACTTCTTGTGTCTATTAGGTTCTATTACTTGGGGAAACTAAGTCTTGAAAGAGATAATTATTCTTTTATATCTGACTATTTTGAAGTCTTTTAAAGATTGTTTTATAAGTCTGATTAAATGAACAAAAATTATTTTATGTTATTACAGTATATTTGAGACCTTTAATATATATGTAAAAGTTTATAGAATGAAAACTATGTAGGTTTAATACAGGCAAGGTAAACAATAAGTGCTCTCCTTTATACTTTGTATCTGAACTTTAAAATATAATATGTCCACAATGCCATTTAAAAACCTGACATTGGTTTGCTTTAACTACATACATTTTTATTGTTATATAAATGAGATGCATTTGTATATCAGATGATGTCTATTTTTAATCGTTAACACTGTTTCCTAAACTTATCAGAGATTCTAAATTTTACTTTAAAAGTTAAAAATAAGTTAATATAAGGACATCTGTGTAATTATGATGCTATTATTTCTGGCTTCTTTGTATATTAGATATATTCATTTTCTCCAAGTATATAAGTTTTTTAAAATGTAAAGCTTAGGAGAGCACTTTACCAAGCTGATATTTTCCAAACTAAAGCTGTTTGTAGTGATAACCTTTTCCAGACTTATATAAAAATAATAAATTTAGTTGGTGATCTCTTTATGATATTTAATGTTTTATTACTAGATAAAGGTAATCAGTTGTCAATATGTTACATATAAAATCTGTATGTTGCTCTTTACATTGGGATGGGCATTTTAAACATATTTTTGGAAAGTTATTAAGGAGAACCTGTTTGTTTAAAGGTTGACAGTGTGGAACATGGAAACACTTCTGCCACTTTTTCCACAAAAAAGGAAGTTTAAGACCTTTCTGTTTGATTCATGTTTCAGATGTAATTTATATCACGCTAACTGAAATTCAGATAGACCCAGGAAGCAGTTCAGAAAACCTTGTTTTCTTATACTCTTTTTTTTTTTTTTTTTGGTGGTGCTGGGGATTGAACCCATTCTGATACTCTTCAATAGAATGATATAATAGGGCAAAGGTCAGATTCAAAAGTAAAGCACTTTAATTAAGATCTGTCAAGGTCAACCTCACCTGAGACAAGGCCCTGCCGTTCATCCCTGATAGTCCCACAGTAGGCTAGAATTAAGCTCACTTAATGTTATATTCAAAAGAAAGATCCTTAGAAAGAGTCCTGTGATCCCAAAATTAAAAGGGTTGTAATAAAAAACCAAATAAAAATTTGGGCAAATTATAAAAGGTATTTAAAGGGTGTCAAAGAGTTTTAAAAGAAAGTAAAACAAAGATTTTCATATGTGGTTGATAAATTTATGGATTTTGCAGCAGATGCTAGATAGATATCAAAGATACATTAGTGTTATACAAATTATGTTTCTTGGTTCATTTAAGTGTTTGCTTTTGTTAATTTCATTTTCATTTTGTATTTTCCTTGTAAAACTTTATAACTTCCCTGTTAGTGGTTTGCAGAAACACTAATTCTAACAGCACAATCTGAGTTAATTTGAGATAATAAGCCATCACCTACAGGACAGATAGTATATAATACTGACTCCCTATACTAATACTGACCCTAAATAAATAGAAGGGGTGATTGTAAAATTGTAAATATGAAAAATTCAAACCCATTACTACCACTTCAAGCCTAGTGAAACTGACCTTCTAAGCATTTAAAACCAAAACTTGGAGACCAAAACCAAGGAGATAAAAGGACTAAGGCAAAAGCAGCCAGTATTTGGCCCTTGCCCTCTAAGGTCAGCAGGCTCTAGGGAATGACAGGACTCATGTAAGGAAGAGAGAAGACTGGACTGAGTGTGTTAACCAGAGGGCTGAGGGCCAACTGGGGGCTGGGGATGTGGCTTGTGGTCAAGTGCCTCTGAGTTCAATACCTGGTACCAAAAAAATTTTTTTTAAATAAAAATAAAAATCTGCACAGCAAAGGAAATGATTAAGAGCATGAAGAGAGAGTCTACAGAATGGGAAATCTTTGTCAGGGGATTAATATCCAGAATATATGAAGAACTCAAAAAAATTAACACAACCCCCCCCAAAACAACTCAATTAATAAATGAGCAAAAGAACGAAGCAGACATTTCTCACAAGTAGAAATCCAAGTGGCCAACAGACGTATGAAAAAATGATCAACAACCCTAGCCATCAGAAAAATGCATTGAGATTTCATCTCATTCCAGTTAGAATGGCAGTCATCAAGAGTACAAATAATAACAAATGCTGGCGAGGATATGTGTCAGGGTGTATACATTGTTGATGGGACTGCAAATTAGTACAAYCACTTTGGAAAGTGGTATGGAGATCCCACAAAAGACTAAGAATGGAACCACCATAGGACCCAGCTATTCCACTCTTTAGTTTAATTTATCCAAAATAACTAAAATCAGCATAACGTAATGATATAGGCACATTAATGTTTATAGAAGCACAATTCACAATAGCCAAATTATGGAACCATCCCTGGTGCCATATATACACAATGGAGTTTTACTCAGCCATAAAAAGGCATGAAGTTATGGCATTTGCCAGTAAAGGGATGGACCTGGAGAACATCATGCTAAGTAAAATAAGCCAGACTCAGAAAGCCAATGGAATGTTTCTTTCATATATGAAAGAGAAAAATAAGGGGGGAAAGAGCAGGGGTGGATCCCACAAAAATAGAGGGAGAGAAAGGGGATTGAAGGGAGGGAGGAAAAACAAGAAAAGGAAGGAACTACAGAATGAAATTGACCAAATTATGCTGAGTGTGTGTGTGTGTGTGTGTGTGTGTATGTGTGTGTGTATATATATGAATATGCCACAATGAATCCCACATTTATCTATGGGTTTCAATTTTAAAAAATGATAAGTAAATAGAAGGAAGCCAGTAGAGAAAAGGGAATGGGGGAAGGAGGAGGAGAGGGAAAGAGGAAATACTTCGGACTGAAACGGAGCAAATTATATTCCATGCATGTATGATTATGTAAAAATGAACCCCACTACTATTATACATAACTCTAGTGCACTAATGAAAACATTTTTTAAAAAAGGATCACACATAAAGCATTTAGAAGAGCATCATGCACAAAGTAAGCTCTCATTAAATGTTAATAATTACTATGAATAAGACCAGCAGTGAGCTAACTCATGTATCATTAATGACTTCTCTGAGAGCCAAAAATGATATTTAAAAAAATACTGCAAATTCCAAATGAAAAGGTGGGGGGCATTGGCCTACRAGTTCAGAATGTGAAAGGGGACCAGCGCCCAAGCAGTTCCAGAAAATGAATCCCAGCTTGCTTCCCCTTCCTGCTTGAACACCTCTAACACCCCAAACCCTGTTTCAGGTGATCTGGGCGTTCACAGTGGGGAGGAACTCCAGCTCACCACCACCATCACCCACGTGGACGGGCCCACCGAGATCTACAAGCTCACCCGCAAGGAGGCTCAGGAGTAGAGAATACAGCACCCAACTGGGACCATCTGTCTACACGCAGGCCCTCTCATTAGAGCKCGGAGCCTGCCAGACAAGCTCAGTGTACGAACGCTGCCTCATGCCTCTTGGCTGCAGTTTCTTAGACCAGCAACTTGGACATTTCTTGGATGGCCTTCTGGCGGTAGCTTTTGGAGGAGAATTCCTGCAGCCACTAATGCATTGTGTATGATAACAAAAACTTTGCTATGACACATTTTCTGTGATCATTGTTAATTAGTGACATAGTAACATCTGTAGCAGGTGGTTAGTAAACCTCATGTGTTGGGGGGGTGTGCTCCTTTGGGGATGGTTTGGGCTGGATGGGGTCTATATCGAGTGGAATATGACTCTTTTTTTCCTGCTTTAGATTCTGGGATAGAATTTAACATTCTTTGCAGTTTAAGGTATGCTGCTGCCACAGCCTCACTCCTCATCCATGACCACTTTTTTTCCCCYCTATTTATATCACCAAGTAGCCTAGTCTACTGAGTTAATATTTAAGTTGTCAATAGATACGTGTCCCTATTTTTTATGGCTTAATATAAAATCATTGAATTTCATGAGAAGGTCTATTCCACCAGAGGCATTTCAGCTTTGAAACCAAATCTGTGTTATCCAATACTAACCAGTTCATTGGATGTGGGTTTTAAAAAAAAATGTTTGCTAAACTACCCAAGTAGGATTTATGGTATTAAATGGCCTTTGGGTCTGAAAAGCTTTTTTAACCTCTTGCTTAAAAATGTGTTTTCTTTTGATAAGATGCTTCAAACGGCCTCCAAAAGTGTAGATCCAATCATTTAAATAAACCAATCTGTATATGTATATATGTATGTGCACACCCTCTGCCTACTCAGACCCATGTATATGAAAGCAGATTCAATTCCATATTGAATCTAGGAGTGAGGAGTGGGTGGGGGAAATAGAGAAAATTAAAATGTTTTGCATCAAATCAAAGCATCTGGGGGACAGCATCCATTCTGGAAATGAGGTAACTAACATTTACTATACTAGGCAGCTCACCTTCTGTTTGAGTCCATTTTTTTTGCTGCTGTAACTAAAAGACCTGACCAGCACAATTGTAGAGGAAGAAAAGTTTATTCAGGGACTCAAGTTTTCCTCAATCCGTAGAGAGCATGCTCCATTCCTCAGGGCTCAAGCTGAGGCTAAACATCTTGGCAGAAGAGTGTGGCAAACAGAAGCAGCTCACATAATGATCAGAGAGCAGAGAGAGAGACTCTGCTCACTAGATACAATATATATACTCCAAAGCCACACCCCCAATGCCTACCTCCTCTAGCCACACCCTATCTGCCTTCAGTTAATCCTCATTAGTGGATTAAATCACTGATTGGGTTAAGGCTCTCATAACCCAATCATTTCTCCACTAAACCTTTTTGCATTGTCTCATACATGAGCTTTTGGGGAACAACTCACATTCAAACCAAAATACCTTACTGGATCAGCAAGGAATTCTTAAAGATTGTCAATAAGGATGGGGAACAGTCATCACTTCAGAAGTAGACACTGCTCCATGCCACATACATCTTATTCCTACTGCTTCAAGAGCCTGTGTCATTACATTTGATTGCTGTTGTTGGAGAGGCAACATGGCATAGCAGAGAGAACAAACTGTTGATGGTCCATCATTTGCTACTGTGTGACTTTGCCCAAGGCACCTGATTGAGCTGTTTCTTTACCTACAAATTGATGTCCATAAAAATATATCCACATTACAGGGTTACAGTGAAAATAAAAATCATTTCATGTATACAGAAATACTTTATCAACTATAAATCCACATAAGTATGTTCTTCCTGGAGTCTACAAGCAATTTCAATGGTGTCTTCTTTCTCAGATACTGCTTCCTGAAGGTCTGGGGTACATTCTGTTTAATACACTCACCAGTGCCCCCTACCCTTTCTTTCCCCTGGTTTTGGCTAAACCCATGAGAAACAGTGACAGCAGGAAATACTTTGGCCTTGACTATTCTTCCAGGCCTTTTTCTAACCTGATGAGCATTCAATGGTACATGATCCAATGCACTCAGCATCCACTTATCACCAGCATGGTGTCAGCAATCACATGTAGCCCCTCCTCCCAATCTAGCAGGGAAGACGGAATTCAAATGCTACAGTGATCTCTCCCAGAGGATAGAGATGGAGGGAGTGCCTCTCTGACCTCTGGAATGGAACAAGGATCTGAGCATGTCTTTAAGAAGAAGCCAGATTGTGTCAGGGTGGAAAGGCAAAGGGACCAGCAGTTCAAAAATCACTGAAACAGTGAAGTACAGAGAATGTTTGCTTCAGGTTGGTCACTGGGCCTGGCTGGCGTATAGGTGTGCAACAGCAGAAGAAGGGCCCTGTGCACCTGTGAATCAGAAGAGGCAGTGTTTTAAATGCCATGGTAAGAGTTAGGAGACTGTCTCGGGTTTTAGGCAGAGAATTGACATGGTTAGAATCACCATCAGAGCATGGAAAGGCTGGATAGGCCCAGCAAAAAAAAAAAAAGTCACAAAGACTAAAACCAGGCAAGAGTCRAGGAGGAGAAAAGGGAGACATTGTGTTGGTGTTCTGCACCCTGGACTTCACAGAAAGCAAGAGTCAAATTCCAAGCCCTCGCAGGGTGAGGAATAGTAGGGCCCCTGACCAAATGAGAGATTCCTAGATGAGAAGTGTTAGTGGGTCCACGAGTACTAGAGGCCAGCTCTAACAAGCTTAGTAAAAAAAAGGCGAACTTAACTAGAACTTTCCTGGAGTATACATAGAAGAGCTGAATTATCCAGAAATATGTGGGAATGGGAACAGCTTTAGGGACCCCAACACCAGGAATTCATAGACTTTCCTCTAGAATACTAACATTTCCAACTAGTTCAAGTCTTTGTCTCTTACTTCAAAACCATGAGACAGAGAGTGATGACCCTGTGCCATTCAGCTTGTGCAGGGAGTCAGATCAAGTGGCTGGGGCTCACAGGGTAGATTGGAGTCTGTTTCCAAAGACTGGAGACTCCATTTTGAGCTGGGAAAACAGCAGAAAAGATCTAGTACCAAAAGCAAGATGGTGCTTCAATTTGAACTGAGTTGTAAAAGCCATCTCCCCCATTATCTATAAGAGTGAGGAGAGCACTTGGAGCAGAGCATCAAAGAAAAGCACCCATGGGAGTAGCAAGCCAGGCATGGCCACACCCAATAGGAAAGAAAGAAAATGAGGTAGATTCATCAGAAGAATGGGTGTCCAAGACGCTGAAGAAGGAAAGATTCATAGAAACAAAGCAAAGAAAACAGAATGGCATTGGACCTCCTGAGCCGCAGACTGAGTTAAGCCTGTTGGATTGGGTGGTTTGGGATGTGTATGATCTTCTGAAGGGACAAGGGCAGAAGCTGGATGGAGAGGTGGAACAGAGTCCGTGGATGGCTATACGGGAAAGGGAGGAAGTAAGATGGAGCCAGAGTAAAGGCAAGGCTTGAGGGTTTTAGTCTGGGAGAAAACAGGACTGAGTTTGCTCATCAGAGAACTGAGGTCCAACTGTGAAGGAGAGGAGACCATGAGGAGGTAACAAGCCGCAAGGGTAATCAGAGACTTGGGGTTCAGACCCAAGATGGTTTAGCCCTGAGGGAATAAAGGGGATACTTATATCCTGAGACAGGAGAAATGACAGATGGACAGTAGAAGAGAAGATGGAGGTCAAAAGAACAGGAGTTCAGCCTGGCCCTCTGGGTGTCCTGTTTTCTCCCACAAACATGAAGTAAGTATTGAAGTTCCATCAAAAAAGTCCTGAAGTTCCATCAAAAAAGTCCTCAGCTCCGAGGACAGAGCACATCCAGTTGCCATCAAGGAAAGTGAGGTAGAAACTCCCTAAGAGGTGAGAAAGAGCTTTTATTAAGGACCATCAAGTTAGAGGGAAAAAAATTATTAGCTATATATGCCAGTGTTAGATATATACATGATCATTAAAATTTTCCTATAGCTTCAAAGGATATTATTAAAAAGTATAAAAATTTCCAATTATTTGCTTTAAAAAAAATAAGAAAATTCATCAATAAATCAACAAATCAATAAAATGCAATTGCTATTTTAGAAAGAAAACAAAATCAGTTTTTACACTGGTTAATTTCATTGGGCTTTCACTCTGTCTTCTTCCTATGTTCTCCCCTTAGGGGAAGAAAATGTTCATCATGATGAAATAAGTGATTCCATGCATGACCCCCAGGTGGCTTTAATCATTTCTCAGAACTGAAATAAAGCCGTCAACGATTCTCATGCCTGAGTTCAATCCATCCTGTGAGCTGGTGGAGCCCTTGGAAGTCATATTCCTGGGGTCCAGGCAGGTGCTTGAGAGTTTCAGACAAATGCCAGAGGGAAGGTTGGACCACCTCACCTGTGTTAGCGTGGTGGTGGCCTTTGTCCTCTTGTCCCAAGGTCCTTTCATACTATGGGAACCATCTGGCTTCTGCAAGCTCTTGCCATGGCTTTTGAGACATTATTGCATGGGGATTAGCTGATTTCTGAGACTACCGTCAGCAGCCCATCAGAGGAGACTTCCAAGCACGAGTTGAGCCATCTTGGGTGGGGATCTGCCTGTCTCCTGTGACAGTGCAGTGAGCCTCTAAGATTAAGAATGTCCTTCAGTTCTGAGTTCAGACCTTTTCTTTGTGACTTTACCCCTTAGTCCTGACTAAACTCCCTTCCTAATGTCCACGTTTCACTCAGGTCTCCTCTTCCACAAGCTCAACATCTCAAACCTTCACCTGCGAACTGCATTCTTGCTTCTCATTGTTCCCAAGTATGATATGCAGAATGTACTGTTTTTCCAGCTGGCAATGGATTCATGTGAAAATACTACTTCCTGTAGTGGAATCCAGTATCCTAAGAAAATGACACAGGATTCTTAAAAAATATCCACATCCCACTTTTGTGTTTCTCATGACCATGTAACCACTAACACACTTTTAGAGATTTAAAAATTAATAGTATCAATACTTTTTTCTCTGTATTTCAACTTGATTGTAGAATTTACTTTTAGATTTTATTTCCCTCACACATAAGTTTAATAGGAAAATTCTATCTTTAGCTTTTAAAATAAGGATGGTTTATAGTGTAAATAGTAAAATCCTTTCCAAGTAAAAGATGAACTAATTTGCATTGCTGGAGAATTTATAAACATACACATTAAGACCAGAAAAACCTCCGTTGCCTGGACCTCTCCTGAGTCCAGCTCTCTCCCTCACAAACACACACACTGCACACAAAAAAAATGGAGTCTTACAGCAGTGGGCGTATGTATGTGTTGCAATGTGTAACTCTATAACTTACACATTTCCCCTAGTGTCACCTCCTCCCAGTTAGAATGGAAATCACACTTCAAAGGACATAAGGCTCAGAGAGGGGAAGTGACTGGCCCAAAGTTGTATGTATTGAAGAGGCAACATTGCAACTAAAAGGAACACTTCGGTCTCCAAACCTCATTATCTTAAGTAGTATGTTTACAGCACAAAAGTCAAGAATTTTGTTTTGAGTTGCAATTCTCATTAGAGCCAAGTGCCCTTATTGGGAGATGTTATTCCAGCCTAGCAATCTATCTGGTCACTCTTCACTTTCATGATGGCAAGTGTCTGCCCTCTTCTGGCCAAGGGGAGAATGACACTTATCCTTGAGCAAATCCTTAGGACAAAAGTCAAGACTTTGGAATTTGAGGAATTTGTCATTGCTTCATAATTACAGGTCCGATGCAGTCTTGCCTCTACCCCAGTTGCTCTGGTGCCCTCGGGGAAGCTGCTTAAACCCCACCCCTCTAGAACTAGGTAGTCTTTAAAGACCTCACCTGATTCTAAGAATCATAGAGAAGGCTATGCTTCGTGATATC